ATCAGTGACGCGCTTCGTTCAGTTACGTATTGCTACATCATTTCCCCAATCATCGTTTTGAGGCTTCCAGAGCATCAGCATTTGCACGATTGACAGTCCAGGTTCAAAGGATCACGAGTGTGATTGAGAACCGGTCCTTTATCTGTTATACACCAGCGCTCCGCCTACATTCAATGAAAATCTTGTTACTGCTACATTTGCAGATAATACTGCAATTCATGCCACCGCAGACCAAGAACAGTTAACCTAATAAGACTGCTCATTCAGCCAAAAGAGTCCGCCAGGTGCATGCAAAAACTACTCGCTTTGTGGCGTCATTGTAGTCCTTGTCCTTTGAATAAGAAGACTAAGGAAGGAGCATATCAAAAATCTTAGGTACACCGCGATGGGCCTCAAATATGGCCGACTTAGATTCCGGTTTATCAGTGTCGTTCTAATTTTATTTAAAAAATATAAAACTATGATGTAGGATAGACGTGGGACTCAATAATTTTGTTTATTTTACGTTTGTGAATAAATGTTGGTAGTTATTAAAATTGTTATAAAAATATATAATTCTAATGAAAATAGATAAGTTATAATAAGTATTTATTAAACACAAACATCCGATACACTACTGAAGCAGGTAAGTCAAATTAACGTATCTAAATTCTTGACATCTAATCTTTGACAAGTAATAAATAAAAGCTAAAATACAGAAAAATATATATAATTTAGTTGAAAATTTAAATTTTCATAAATGATCGGTTTACTACACGTATGTATTATATAGTCACTTACTAGCGAAAAGTTGTTTCCATTTCACTCAATTTTGCCGAGATCTACCACGCTACACAACCAAACTATTTTAGAGTCTTTTCGATAAATCGCGATAGTGTCATTATTATTTAAGTTCTGCACAATTTCCATCTAGATTTACTACCTTTTTACGACTATCAGTAGTAGAATAAATAATAAATAACATAAAATAAGCTCCGTAAGACTGTAAATCTAAAATTTCAAATCAAATTCAAATGAATCATCAAACAGAACTGTCGAGGATCCCCACCCTAGAGAGCTTTTATGGTGGCTTTTTCCGCCCACCATGCATAAATACATGGATAGCATTATGCTCCTTCCTTAGTCTTCTTATTCAAAATTTTGTCATAGTAATTAGTCCTTATCCGGCAACCAATAATACACATTGCATTATTGGTTGCGAGAAATACAACGTTCATTATTTAGTTTATTTATTTAAACACCTTATATGTACGCAGTATAGAAAATTAACTGTATAAATCATATTACAAATGCTCGGATAATGCATTTTTAGAACAACAGTTCCCAGCATCACCTTTTGCAAGCATTCTTTTTAAAGTACTTCCATATTTTGCTTTTTCAAAATAATTAATAAACAAAATCGTGGGCACTCAGTATGCACTTTGTCACAATCCACAACACAAAATGAACGTATTTATACACTATAGCTCTAAAAACTTTAAGACACCTTTTTTACATTTAAAATTGACAAAATAATTAACTCAAAATTTCTCAGCTGTTATTTTTTATAAGTTTACCACAGGCAACCAATAGCACGACTACAGAACAAAGGCTTTGACAAGGACTACAATGGCGTCACAACTGTCAGCTGAAGCGCGGGCAGAGGCGAACGTACGTCTTATGAGGATGAGCAATCCTATTTTAGTTTACCGTTCTTGACCGCAGGCAACAATACCAAGTCAACCGAAAAGTTACAAATTGCACTCATCGCCGAAATACAACGCTGGGCAGCGAAATGGCGCCTTATAAATTGAATGAAAAAAAAAATCCAGTGCACTTATCGATTTCACTAATAAACGAATCGAGTACAAGCCAGTATACATATATACCGGGTGTTGCATCGTCGGATGGGACATAGGAAGTATATGTAAATTTTAATGGGGGTCAATTATTGACTTCCCTAATTATTTTAGAGAATATTATACAAATAACTTTAGATATTTTAATTAGTTTTTTTTTTTTTTTTTTTTTTTTTATTCTTTTTAAATATTTCTCCTTTCTTATGGCCCTGTATTTACTTATGAGTACCAGTCAAAGGTAAAAATAACTGTCAAATGAAGTTGTCATTTCAGAAATTTACCTATTTAGTGCTATATTATTATTGAAAACTCATTCCCTACATCGGAAATCTTAAAGATGTATTTATAAATACACAAATTAATATCAATTAAAGTAAAATATTTGTCAGTTACAAAGTTAATTATAGTATTATTACAATATTCAATAACTTATTAATTTAGTACTATTAAATTGTTTAGAACTTTAGGATTTAAGATGTTCAATATTCCTCCATCGACTGCTAGACAATAACCCAGGCGATCATAAAATTCTCTTCTTACATTCGCTAATTGGTAAACTGAAATTCTATTGCATTCGGTAGAAATAGCATTTTTAACTCGTCTAGATTTGGGTATTTTTTATCCTTGTATATCCTGTTTTAAATGGCCCCAGAGAAAGAAATCATTTGGCGAAATATCAGGAGACCTTGCTGGCAATTTACTGTATGATTTAGACCAATAACGTTTCCGTTAAAACTATTGTCTAAATATTCCCGAACAACCAGGACCAAACTTCCTGATTTTCCCTCGCGGCATCATGTAAAGCAGGTAAAATATGATTTTCTAGTAGTTCCAAATAATATTCTGCATTTAAATTTCACGTAAACCGTAAGCCCGATATATATTATTGTGTCAGAATATCCCTGCCCAAACATTTTACTTTCTGTGGATATTGCATCCTTGTTTCGACAAACTGTGTTGGTTTTGAACTAAAGTATTTAAGTAAAAAGTGCATTCGTCAGTGAAACATATGTTTTTAAAAAATTCCCCTATCCGTGTTTGCTCTTTCCATCATATCAAAACAAAACTCCTGCCGCCGTATTTCGTCCCCATCTCGTAGCTCTTCGTGCTTTTCATATTTGAAGGAATAGTATTTATGTCGTTTCAAAATTCGAAACGCTTTGCTTAAGTGCTGTTAAGAAGGTGAGTTTTGTTGATGTAAATAATAACTGTTTATATATTAATTTATTTTTGTTTCCTAAAATATTTTGGTTTAAAGAAAATATCGCCGTTCCGGTGGAATATCGACGTAACTGCATTTCGCTGAATTTTATAGGAGAGACGAAAAACGATAGGATGTTTATAAATCGACTTGCCTGTAAGATACTTTATTTCTTATGTATTGTAATTATTGTATAAAAAACAATGTCGGGCGGGTATTACAAGATGCGTCAAACATATTTTTTGTATGTTTAAAATTATAGGTGATTTTTGAAATTATGCCTTTGTTTTTTCAAAACAATAAATAAAGCTAAATTACATTTCTGCCTTTTTCATTTATTGAACTAATCAAAAACACTAGTAATATCAATCCGAAATAACATTAAACCATGAGATCAATAATGGTAACAAAGGAAAACATAACATCATAGAAAATATTCTATTATACAGGTACATTACCTATTCAGTCAGTAAAACTAAAACTAATAATATTCAACAAAACGATTTTTTGGTCATTACTTTACAAAGCAACACACACGAAAGTATCAATTGTTATTATCTAATTTAAAATACTTTCATAATAATTTTTGTAGAATGCTGGAATTAGGTTTGACTTAACTAAACTTAATAAATCTTTTTTTTTATTTTCAGATAACTCGAAACGTTTATTGTAGGCTTTTTTGATGTTGAGATCTTTCATCTCCTTTTTTGACCTTCTTCTTTGTTTAAAATTTACTTCAAGCCATTCTTTCTGTTTATAACTTTTTTTATAATAAAATTCTTGACTTCCTTTTACAAATCGTAAAATTTTTACTTCATTGATTTTAAAATCATTTCCAAGGGTGTTTTTATGTATGGTAAGATTCATGTCATCAGCCAGTGCCTTAAGGTCAAGGAAATCTTCAAAAGCCATTTCCTTAACTTCAATTTTCTTTCCCTTCTTCTTGGCTTCCCGGATAATGGAAACGTACTGGTCGGGAATATAAATAGGTCCAGACTTCTTGGCCAATGAAATTTTCTTCTCTATAATGCTGTGGACTGCATCTGCCTCATTCTGAGTATGTCCGCGTATTAAAAATTTATGTGTGATTGAACCAATTTGAAAATGTTCTACGGCATACAGATACGCTGCTATCAGAAATCTAAAAACAAATTGGGTGATGATTAAGTAGGTTTACTTATAATAAGGCGCTTTAAACAATTTACCTATTTTTTTGTTGGCCCATACAATTATCGGAAAAAAATACAATATCTAATCCTGGCTGACTTTTCGATAGTTCTTCTAGGTAAATCAAGACGCAGCTCCCTATTTCAATAGCACCCCTATTACCAAAAACTTCGTGCCAAAAAAATGCTTTCGTTGAACCTTTTACTATTTCCGTAACCTAAAAAAATTATGCACATTAGAATGTATACAAAAAAGCTCATTAAATTATAACTCACCGTGAAATTATAGCAATTTAGCCTTGATTTATAGAAGAAAGCTGATGATTGGCCGACTGGTACAGGCAGTACTGCCTGTAAATCGTAAATAGCCAAAGAAATGCTTCCAGCTTGTGCTTTTATTTTATCTTCTTCTTTTTCTTCACGACTTAAATTTTTTTCTTCCAAATGTTCATTATACTTATTTTCCAACTCTTTCTTCTCATCTTCCGATGCATTTTTAAAAGACTCGCAAAGATCGCACTGATCTTTTTTTGGTGCGAAAAAGCCAATATTGAATTTTGTATTAAAGATTCTTGAATAATAATCGTAGGTGGCTGACGGTTGGTTAGAAGCAGACCTTCTCTCGCAATAATCTCGATGCATTTCCGCAATCGTAAGCCCACCGTCTATGAACTCCCGAGTCGTTTCTTTACGAACATAGTGGCTATCAATTCGCGGAATAGAATTAATATGATCGAATACAGAATTGGTTAGCTCTTGATCAATTTTCCTATGATTTTCGTGTTTCCCTCTACGATCTTCTATAATTATGCCTTGCTCAGATACCCTCAAATTAATAACAGTTCTCATCATTTTTTCTGATATTCCAAGTGTATTGATCAAGAAGGTCTTACAGACTCTAATTTTTTTTCCATTGTCAAGAAGATAAAATGCACAATTTGGTTTCCTTGGATGTGCTGAAGATATTCGTCTATATTTAAGAACTAATTGCTCAACACATGAACCGAGAAAATCTCGCTGGCGTTGCAAGCTTCCTAAGTTCCAGTATTCCTTGAACAAACAACTGCGACGTTCTGCGGAAATTTTTTTTGAGCAAGAAAGAATACATTTGTCAGTACAAGCAGGTTTCATGTATCTAGGTTTCATAATCTTTCCTGTTCTTGAAGTATACTCTTGACCGAAATTTCTAAGCTGCTTTGCTTTTACTTGCTTCCAGTTATTTTGATTTCTGACCCTTTTTTTTCCTTTTTTCATAGGGGTATTTAAAGGTTCTTCATTCTGATTATCATTATTAATGGGATAATTCTCAATGGATTCTAATGATGCCTCACTTGAAGATGACGAATCGTCATTCGGTGTATAATCGTCGCTCGATCCCGCAGAAAAAGGTTCATCTTCTGAATCACGGTAATCTGTGTAACTCTGGTTACCCTTCCTAAGTCTTATTTTTGTGCTACTTGGATTTTCGACCAGGTAGTGGCATTTATTTGAAGCTTTGCTTGTAGAAGGAAAATCAGAAGTAATGCCATCAACATTGGCTGAAGAAGTATTGACAATGGAAAGGGGGCTTTTACTAGAAGCACTTTGATTTACTTGATCCACGCAGTTAGATTGCCCACGATCATCATTTGGATCTAGCACCAATATGTTTTTTGGTGTGCATGGCAGAGAAATAAAAAATTCAGTGTGACTTGATGTATCAATTTCTTGTAAAACTGTATTGGATGCTATATCAGTTATTTCTGATGATTGCTTGAAAGATGCATTATTGGTTCTATTTACTGCTTCAGTTTTTAGTAGATTTAACATTTTAAAAGTTCTAGAGTTCATTGTTCTGCAATAAGAAAAAAAATAATTTCAGAGAATGTGAGGAATACAGGATTTTCCGTTTTTAAAGCGAGCCATTCTGTTATGGAGATTAGAGTTAAGGCGGTCGAACGTAAAATGACAAAATTACACAAAATTTCCTATAAGAGGTTGGAATTCTCGCCACTCACAGCGTTCGCGACCCTATATAAAAATAGATAAAGAATAGTACATGAACTGGAATAAGCGAAACAGAGCTTAAAGCAAAACATCCGTCAGGCTTTGGACATCTATACTATTTACCATACATGATTATTTTCTATTTTTAGCGATGCGAGCATCCTACAAGGGCAAAGTAATGGGGTTAATTACCTCCAGAGTTGGAAAATGATTGACAAAATATAATACCTCTTAGGTTGTTTTGAGTCACGTCACGTTATGTCCGTTCTTATGACTCTAATCTTCATAGAAATTGTCGAAAATCCAATTAATTAATTATAACTTGGGTATTTAAACTGATAAGATAGGTAGGCACCGATTTTAATGAGTAGTTTGGGTAGTAAAGAGCCGTAAAAAACATTTAGACTATAAAAAAGCACAAGCATTTAGTGATACAAAGACATAAAATACAGTTATGTCCTTGTGATTTAACAATTTTTAGAATAATACAGACGTAAAGTACAATTACGTCTTTGTTTCATTGAATCACATAAAGGTTTTTACAGTTATGGCTTCTAGAATGGACAATTTCCAATAAAATAGAGGCGCAAAGTTTACTTACGTCTTTGTTTTTCCAAAAACACGGAAACAAAAACATTAACTTCAATCAAAATTTGTAGTTCCGCCAATGTTCCACTAGAAATACGTGCGTATCTGTTGACAACTGTTAGGTAACTGACCAATACGCCGGTGTTGTCGCGAATCGATATTTCGATTTTGCCGAATGTGACGAGGACGCAACTACCATCTAGCGGCCAATATTGGAATTACACTCACGCCTTTGTTTGAGCGAATAAATTACGTTATTTTATATTGATTTATGCCAATAAGTCATTTTTTGAAAAAGTTGCAGTTACGTCGATATTCCACCGGAACGGCGATATATAAAAGAGACAACACTGGGCCGGTCAAGCTTAATCACGTGACTAAAAGATTATTTGGTGTGAACTGTAACTAAGAATTCTGTTGATTTCACTCATACTAGCCAAAAAAATTGTGAATTGTTGATTTGAACACAAATGAGTAATATAAATATGTATCGCAGCACTAAAATCTATACAGTAGTATTCTGTATACACGACAAAAATTGTTATCCACAACAAGAATCAGTGCCGTACACATTTTTTTCACGGAAACTTAAAATATGGACAAAAATAAAATAGAAAAACTATAATTTAAATATGCGTACGACATTGACTTGAAGCACACAATCTTCATTCTATGATAAAGGGCTGACACAAAATCCATAACAACCAAACAAAATATGAAATACCTACCTTTTCTAACTGTCTAATTTGATTAAACCTAACAATAATAATTTCTTTTGATCTTTTGAAATAATTAATACACCTTATTTTTTATTATTTATGGGACAATATAGAAAATTTGTGAAAATTTTCAAAAAAAAATAAAAATTAATATTCTTTGAAACTTTCTGTATAGTTATGCGTATGTAAAGAGGATTTCTGTAATTTTCCGCTATGACAGTCGCATGATATATGTCAAAATATTTTTTTGTAATTAGATATGCCGAAGAATCATTTTTTTTAAATAAAATTAAGCAAAAAAAAAATTGTTGCGAATTTTTTTGCACACCCTTTATATTTATTAGAGACAACAATGGGATTACTAAGTAACAACAACAATAGATATGAACCACTTCGTGCACTGCGAAACTTAGTAATTTTTTCGTGCTCTAACCAACATCGAATTACAATGAACAACGCACAACATCTAAACACCAAATCTAAAGTAAACATAGAAAGAATAAAGAACAACTAACAGTCAGATCGGCAGACCTGATGAGCAACTATAGTGGCTGCCACTTAGCGCTAATACACGAAATAGGAGACCACTATCAGAGGGCGCAGTTGCGGCAGGTGATCGTTTCTCATTCGTTCAGTCTCGGTAAAACTCGTCGGTTTACGCTAGATCTCGGTCATAGGAGAGTCTTACAGGCGCCTAGATTGGTGCAAGAAAATTTTTGAAGTAAGAAGAAAGATTTTGATAAAGTTTAAAATTAAAAGATCGGGTTTGTTGACTGGGGATGTCGACTAATTCACAGAATGAAAAATGGCTGGTTGACTTTAATTATTGTAAAGAAATAATTCAAAAATATATAGCATTCTACATATTTTGAAGTTTATTTTAAAAGTGACTGCGCGACGGCTGGAGCGAAATGCGCTATGCGGTTACTGCGCCTGCCTAGTTTTGTCGTTATTATGGTCGTCGTTCTTCAGTAACAGGTTCCTGATTCGTTTTAGAGAGCGACACAACGCGACGTTACAAAAAATACCGCTCCAAAATCGCGTTACTCAAATACCGACACATCACTAGTTGACAGTTTGTGTTTTCTGAGCATTGACTGCCAGTCTCTCCTGTTTACACCACTTGTCTAAGTTTTAATGTGGTCTGCATATCCTAGAAAATAAAAGTCTTGTGTGGACAATTTTAGATTATCTACGAAGGTTAACCAAATTAGAAGAGACAACACTCCCCACTTGTGGACAGACTCGACAAGGTAATACCTTTAATTTGCTATAATAATGTTATATTTTTTCAATCTTCAAATAGTTGAACAACTTTATATAAAATAAAATAAACCAGGGTTAGCGTTTGAAATTATTAATCGCCCTTGTTCCAACTGAAGTACATTTTTTGGTCATAAACGCATATGTATGAACATGGAAGTTGTGAAGGTTATGGAAAGAATGGGAGTGGTTAAAATTAAAAGTCACGAAAGCCAACAACAGCAATTATAGTAAAGGTTGAGATAAAAATAGGTTGAATAAAATAGCAAAATAACTGAAAATAAGTGAATTTTATTTCAATATACCACTACATTGTTTGTACTGCAGTAATAAGTGTTTTAAAAATAGTTTAGTTTAGCTGCATATAGACCATATAGAATATCCGAATTCTAGAGGTGTCGTTTATTGGCTCCCTTATTGCCTTTAGAAGAAACTCTTTTAATGGGACTTTTTAAAACACTGGATTAGATCAGGCTACCTATCAACTATGAAACTCTTTTGCTAAGCCGTTTTTAAGTTATTTGCAAAATTATGTCCTTATAAAAAGTAATTTGTAAAATTGCTAAAACACTCAGTACTTTATTAAAATTTATGACATTGGACAGGAAACTTCGTTCAAATTTTTGTTGAAATAGGATCATGATAGATTTTTTTTACAAAATATTTGTTGGTAGCTATTTCGCCTTAGTATCAGTGTAATGTATCAATATAATTAATGTATTTTAAACTGTTATATATTGTGTTCTAGAGGACCAATTTTGATGATCTTTTAAGCAATTTGTAGCTAAATTATTTGACTTTTTATTATTTCTTTCTAAATTAAAAATGAACATTCCCATCTGTCAATTATACGAAGGAACACAAAATGTTATTTTGGTGACAGATCTCAGATAAGTTACCTGCTTTTTGAAATAAGGTCTATATTATGTAGCAAAGTATCAGGTTGCTAGGTCGGGAAACAAGAAAATGTGTGAAATTCTGGAAAAACGGGCAAGTATATGCTTCAGCCCACGGCCACACAGAAAGCGTTTTTAGCGTTTTGCGTTTTTTGCGTCTCAAGCGCTTTTTGCTATTTTACCGTTTTAA